TATATCTCCCCAAAAGATGCGTGGTTTGTGAAACAGCTGTATTTACAAAGTGCAACCTATACTAGCATTTATTCAAATAGAGAACTCTGGGAAAACACTTTTTCTCACATCAATACTTATTTATCAGAATCATAGTCTAAAAGAAATCACTGCATATATTCTACATGTTCTAACTGTTCCTTTACAGTACACTTCATACCCCACCCCTGTTTCAATTTTTTTAAATTTAAGAACAAGACTGTAAACATTATCAGCTTACCCTGTGTGCATGTCATCTGACATGAAATGCCTAGAACCTGTATGAAACTATTCTGAAAACAAATTGAAAGCATCTCGGAATACTATAAATGTAAAGTTTAGTAGTTAATCATTTCAACATTCAAGATTATATAAAGTATCCAATCCTGCCTCTGTCTCCAGTCCACATCTTACTGTATGCCTATTTATCTATAAATGTTCACAATTTCTGCCTCAAATGGTCAATTTAGAAATCTTATCACAATAATATCATCTCTTACCATGTATCTAACATAATCTGGCTAATATATGAACTAGAAGTGTTTTAACAAAGCCATATTTGCAAACGTTGTATGTATGAAGTTACCAGTCTGATATATGAATTAACTAAAAGTTTTATAGAACTGACTGCTAAAATCTGAGTTTTGCATAACTTGATAGCACGGTTGTTGTCTTCTATACAAAAGACCTTTATAATAATAAAATCATAGCCTTTACAAGTTGAATTGTCTGTTTTTTGACCCAGGGGTTAGGGATGTTTCTCTGTTTTTTGACACTGTGGCCTCACATTTGCTAAACAATTCTGCTGTTTCTGTGAATATGGAATATTTAGTACATTTTTTAGGATAGAACACAATATTATTAGTTTTATTGAGGTATTTTTGTATCTCTAGTTTGTTTATTTTTATGCCGCGGTCACAAGAAAGCACATTCAGGTGCTACGGTTTACTTATGGGTTTTCTACAGGACAAAGATACCCCAACAATAATATTCATCAAGAATTTATAAGTTTCAGTGACTGCGAAGATTAAATATAAGAACTTCTTAATAATTTATGTTACAAATATGCATATATTAAGAATTTACTTTGCATACAGGGCTTTAAGTAAATTACGCATACTGTAAACTGTGAATTGATGCTGAGTCATCATAGGTACGGCCCAACTTCATTAAATAAAAGCAACAGTAGTATACCGCTGTACAAAAGTATAAAATCGATTGAAAGAAAACAAAATTCCCGGTTACAAATTAAAACCGAGGGAAACACATCAACTATAAGAGGAAAACAAAGGAACAACAGAAACACTGGAGTGCAACAAAAACAAACGCCAACATACGTAGAAACGAACTATTTGATAACAACTGCCATATTAAAATATCTGAAGATAAACAAGATTTAGTGAATTTCTCTTCTTTCACCCAATATAGGTTGCGCTTCTGTTAAAGAGGGACGAAAGATACCAGAGGGACAGTCAAACTCATAGATCGAAAACAAACTGACAACGGCATTAATATAGAAACTCCTTTTACTACTAAAACTGTGCCACTTTTACTATGAAGTTTCGTAAAAAATCATTTCCTAGAATTGAAAGTTCATATGCACTACTTTTTTTTCAAAGGTCAAAACATACGGCTGTGCGGCATTTTTTCCAAATTTATATTCCCTGAACTTCCAAGAGTTTAAACATGTGCTTAAATTTTGTACTACCACTCCCTTCACTTTGTGTCTTCCTCAGAATTCAATTTAGCCGCTATCCATGTGTATTTATACTGGTAACATTCCCAAGTTATGTATCTATGAGATAAAACATAGAGATCATATCTGGGAATCAGTATGCAAACAAAACAAAATGTCTATAAATATTATATATCTCCCCAAAAGAGGCGTGGTTTGCGAAATAGCTGTATAGGTACATGTATATATGATATGCTATTCTGTCTTAAATTCAAAACCGCAATAAAAACGTAACTAAAGCTCCCGTCTAAATTCCATTTAATTCATATATTCAACAACACTTTCTGTTATCTTGATGACATTTTTTCGTTATATAAAATATACTGCAGAAATTTACTAACAGGGACTTACCTTAAATCAATAAAATATTAATAGCAATAAGTGTCTTTTCCTAGATTTAGACATTTTAGTTTTACACCAGAAACTCTACACACAAATTTACGACAAAAAGATTGATTTTTCTTTCCCTAATGTTAATTGTCCTCTTTTGGACGGTGATGTTCCTCTGTCACCGTGTACGGTGTTTATATCTCCCAATCCGTTTGCTATCTCCGCGTCTGTAGTGACGTTTTTGGTTTCAATGAGCGTAATCTATATATTACTGTTAAATTATTAAGTCAGGGATTTGGTTACCACAAATTACTAAGAACCTTTACTAAATTCTTCCATAGATATAAAAGATTTGTTTTGCAAGTTTGGCTGTACATGTAAAAAAACTTATTTTGGAAGGAATAGATAGCACATCCTACATTTTACCGCGATGTTGTTTACCGAGCCAGGAAATTTATATACGATCCGGGTAAACTTATCAATCCTTTAAATAAACTTATTCTAAATGTTTACCTATTCAATACGGTAATTAAATCTTTGAATTTTGTTTTTATTGGTATAAATATTGATTTTGGTATCAGTAAATTAGAACCATACTAAGTAAATTGTTATACACACATGTACTTTAACGGTACTACTACCTGTCGATACCTTTATTTTGGCATTGCACTAGGTCATGTTTTTTTCTCTAACTGTTAATGACGTCTTTACAGTTATATTCCATTGAAAGTTGGATGTGTACTGATCGATATTTTAGTCTTAGATATATGATTTGTCTTATAAGTTGTTATTGGCTTTGAACTAACTGTCAGTGCAAGTACTCTCAGATCTGTACTTAGTGGTTTTTTGTTTGGTGTTTGGGATGAGGGATGGATATATATACCTTGCCACTGATATTTGTAGTGTGTTCTTATGTTGTGTTGTTACACTACTTTCCCAGGTTGAGAAGGGTTGAACGCTCATAAACATGTTTAACCCTGCCACATTCTTTATGTGCCTGTCCCAAGTCAAGAGCCTGTAGTTCAGTGGTTGGTGTTGGTTCATGTCTGTCTTATTTGTTATTCGTAATTAAATTGTTTTGTTACAAATTATGCCGTTAGTTTTCTCAATTGAATTGTTTGATATTTTTTATGCCTTTTATAGCCGACCATACTGTATAGGTTTTTCTTTTTCTCATTGTTGAAAACCGTACAGTTGCCTATTATTGATTACATCTACTTCATTTGAACTTTGGTTGATAGTTGTCTCATATGTAATCATACCTCATCTCCTTATTTTTATACTGTAACCATCTGCTCGGTTTTAATGTCGTGCTGCATTCTTGTTGACGCATACCCCTAATTTTTGTTACATTTCAGAAATGCACCCATAATTAACAATCGACCAGCCATTTTCTTTCTTAATATTCACATTTGTTCGTTTTCGTACTGTCTGGTTAAAGTTCAAATATTTAATTCGTTTAAAATTATATTTGATTGCTCAATTTAACAAAGTTTAATCACGTTTAGAACATGACAAAGAGAATATGTTTTTTTTTGGTTTTTTTTTTATAATTGCCATCGTGAAGTCAAGTGCTAATTATAAATAATATCAAATGGCTAAATATTATATCTAAGAAGAATATCGTGTCTGTCATACTTGTACATATGTTAATAACCTGTACAATCGTGGTATTATATCAATTAAGTTTTAAAATCAATGGAAATTAAGGAATGTATCTTACTCATACAAGGTTCTGGTTCATTGTCAGGTTGTGGCGTATGTTTTTGATCTTGACTGTAATGTTCAAATATGTTTGACTCAAACATCACAGAAGATATATCAATGTCGAAATGTACATTCGGGTCAGTTAAAGTGGTACTATGTATTTGATATAATGAATTGATATATATTTCTTAGAAGGATATAACTTTTACTATTCTAGAATTTAAATTTCAAAATATTCACATATGACTGCCATATTTAATCTTTAGGAATCCCTTTTGATGATTTTTTCTATTAGCTACAGAATATGTCCTAATAATGACTTTTAAGATTTTGGAAATGTTTGACTAAGGTACGAATCTTTTGAAGGTCCTGAATATCAAACACAAGATCATATGTGCAAACTTGTATTACAATCTCGAATATAATAGTTAAGTTAACTTAAACCCTTTTCTGTCTGCTGTTTTGTTTTTAGAATTTTAAAAGCTTCAATAGTATACAAGGTTTCAGTTATATGTCTCATGTTTATAAATTCATAATGTCCAATTTCTGCAGAAAAAACATGGGCTTCACCCATCGACCAAAACATGTAATTAAAAAAGATATATCTGGGTAAGATACACATTGGGATAAAATATCAAGGTGGTTCTTGCATGTGGCTAATGCCGTTAGAAGCACAAACTATGTACTGTAACAAACAATCTCGTCATCAATTTGATTGTCCTGAGAAATAGAAATGCTTAATTATGACGTCATAATGACATAATAAGTGTGCTTATCTGTCAGAGCTTATTGGTTTTGTACTTGACAAAAATTATTTATGCAATCTGTCTTGAAATGTTTACTGAATTACTGAAATTTATTTCACTTAATATTAGGGCCATTATTGACCCGTCGAAATGTTCGTTAACCCACTCATCAATTATATGCTGTTCCATATTAGCATCAAATTGCGTCAAAAGTATTATTTTCAATTTGCTGCTCTTTTAAAACCAATAACAAACGGTAAAAAAATCAAGTGGGTCTATGTTTTAAACATAATAAGATAAAATACTTTCAATAGCAAGCTTCGGTGAGATATAGCCTTTTTGTGATGAGTTAACCCCGCATCAGCACAAACAGGCTATGTCTCACCGAAGCTAAAGAATCATCAAATGATCATTTATGAAGCTCACTTATATTTTTTTGTTCGTGATTGTAAGTATCATATGACCTATTTACTTCCGTTATGAGCATTTGTGGTTTAGTTTTAATTCGAGACACTTAAGTACATCTACATGTATATACATTGTAACGAGATAAATAGCTTCTAAAAATTACTAGTCTGATAAGAAGTGTTAAAATTCATTGCATCTGAATATTGGAAGAGTTGGAAGAACTATGTTCATACAGTTTACAGCTTCGTTGTTTCCTGTCTTTTTAAACAGCATGGTAAGACATCATTAGTACATTTTGAATTTATTGATCAGCCATCGTAATAATCATTCAAACTTGATTTAAATTATATTTCGAAATCGCTACAAATTCAAAAATCATCATAGTGGATATCATGTATTCTCTTTTTGAAATTACCATTGGTTTTGTGTATTGTTACATTTACACAGACCTAACTAGAACTTTAATTAGATTTATTCATTATTTGTTTTATTTGATAAGAGAGCAGTTTTTGTCACATTCCTTTAATCCGTAGTGATGTAGTAACTTTTTTAGGCCAAACATGTGAGCACGTTTGGGTTCATAATTGCATTTTTTTTAGGGGGAGGGGGTTATTTATAGCTTCCTGTGAAGTGATGTCTCATTATAATAAAGGCTAACCAAAGTATTTGATGCATTTCTAGTATCATGTACTAGAAACATGACCCTCTGCTATATTATGTTCATCTCTTTATTAGTTTGTTTTCATCTATTTAGAACTGTTTATTCTTGACAGTGTTTTGTATGTATAGTATAGGGCATTTCTCTACAAACTATTAGATATAATTAGTAATTTCATCATAACCTCATTTACAGCTGCTTGTGCTCGGACAAGAAAGCAATGACCTGCCTGAAAGTGCTGCTAACTCAAGTAAGTTATATAGACTATCATGATATATAACTAGAGGCTCTAAAGAGCCTGTGTCGCTCACCTTGGTATATGTGCATATCAAACAAAGGACAAAGATGGATTCATGACAAAATTGTGTTTTGGTGATGGTGATGTGTTTGTAGATCTTACTTTACTGAACATTCTTGCTGCATACAATTATCTCTATCTATACTGAACTTGGCCCAGTAGTTACAGTGGAAAATATTTTGTAAACATTTACAAAAATTTACAAAATTTATGAAAAAATTGTAAAAAATTGACTATAAAGGGCAATAACTCCTTAAGGGGTCAATTGACAATTTTGGTCATGTTGACTTATTTGTAGACCTTACTTTGCTGTACATTATTGCTGTTTACAGTTTATCTCTATCTATAATAATATTCAAGATAATAACCAAAAACGACAAAATTTCATTAAAATTACCAATTCAGGGGCAGCACCCAAACAACGATTTGCCTGATTGGTCTGAAAATTTCAGGGCAGATAGATCTTGACCTGATAAACAATTTTACCCCATGTCAGATTTGCTCTAAATGCTTTGGTTTCAGAGATATGAGCCAAAAACTGCGTTTTACCCTATGTACTATTTTTTAGCCATGTCGGCCATCTTGGTTCGCGGGCGGGGTCATCGGACACATTTTTAAAACTATATACCCTAATGATGATTGTGGACAAGTTTGGTTAAATTTGTCTTAGTAGTTTCAGAGGAGAAGATTTTTGTAAAAGATTACAAAAATTTACGAAAAATGGTTAAGAATTGATTATAAAGGGCAATAACTCCTTAAGGGGTCAACTGACGGCCTTCAACAATGAACAAAACTCATACCGCAAAGCAAGCTATTAAAGTATTGAATTATTTATCTTACTTTACATTTATATAAACATATGGGGATGGGTGTAAATTATCCGACAAATTGCTCATGTTAAAAATATCATTGATAACGAGGTGAGTGGTTTAAAGAATAAAACTGAAAATACCAGTATAGTCACAGAAAGTTATAAGAAAAACGATACATGTATCACTCAGTCAAATATGCAAAGATTAAGCAGACAAGATCAAAACCTCAATAGAAAAATAAGAAGATGTGAAATAATTGCTACTAAGTCCACTTTCCACCAGAGACCAAATTTGTACATATAAGCACCAACATTTACTATATTGTTTGATCTGTGGCAAAACTGTTTTATGGCTGGTATTATACAACCACTATGCATCACATGGAATGAGAGCTGTTTTATCTCCGGATTGCGTCTAATAAAGGTTATTTTCCTTCTTAAAATTATATCTCTGTTTCAGCCGTTATATTCAGTGCTGCTGCCACGTCCTACTTCTAGAGTTGGCAGCTGCTCTTGTGACCATTTCCAATTTTATCAAACTGTGACTTCATACATTGATCACAATTAAAGCGCTGTCTGTGACTGTCATAGCAGAATGAAGGTCTTTTTTTCCATTTTATATTTGAAAACTTTTTGATTTCCTTTTCCCGATGTCCTATCGGAGAAAAAATTTACATCAGCTGATTAAAATCAACTTTACAGGCTTCTTGTTGATCCTAGTGTTAATGCCATTTTAATTTCTATAATTGCATTGTTGACTTTGTCTAAATTGTGCCTTCTTTCCATTTGCATTTACTTTGTCAGCTTGCCTTTGCTTTTTTCATGGCAAATTAAGACTTCCGTATCTTAAACATAATTAGTTTGTTAATACATGTTATACCAATACAACAACTACAAAAAGTACACATTGATGTTAAGTTGATTGTTTCTTCGAAAAGGTATGCTCATTATAACGTGTTTGAAACTGTGAACACATAGTTACAACAAACCTCGGAGGAAACATTTTTTATAGGAAATCGGTGTTATCAATTAGCAATTAGCTATAAAATTCTAAACTCTACATACTCTTCCAACTGAATGAGTTGGGAAAATCAGGTTTGACAGTACATCAAATAATCAAGGCTATGGAATTTCCTGTTATGTCCTGCAAAGTGAGTTGTGAAATGCTCACTTACATAAGGAACACGAGAGGTCATTTTCTTTAAAGGTATTGATTATCGTTCATCATTGCTCAACGTAACATTTCTATTGCTTTTTTCTTTTTACATTCCTTACAGGGATATGTCAAGGGTCAAACAGTGGTTTGGGTTTGAGTGGGAGCTCCCAGGATCAATATGACTTTTACAGACAAAGATACACAAATTGTAAATATGTAGATGGGAATTTGGAGATCACACATTTAGATGAAACCGGAAATTGGGATTTGTCTTTCCTTGAATCAATCGAGGAAGTCAGTGGATATGTATTAGTATCATCTGTTTTCTCTCAAAAGTTGTATTTACAGAACTTGCGTCTGATAAGAGGACGTCAACTTTTTCGAAACACGTTTAGCCTACTGGTATTTAGTAATAGTTACGCTGGATCTAGAACACAAGGATTGATGGAACTCGAATTTAGAAGTTTGCAAGGTATAATTTTATAAACTAAACTACTATTATTTTGTTTTCATTATTTTCTAGAATTTCTTTTTTCCCTGCGTTATTATTTTCAATATCAAGCTACTCAATTAAGATGGAAGTGGCTTAGTTTGTCAGTTGAGAGCGAACACATACATTACATTGGCAAAGGACACTTTTCGTGATTAGTTTTTACCAACAGAAATCACTAACTTTCAAATATTAAAACAAAATCGTGTGCCTTAATTGACTGAGTGTATTACAGTAACTGTTCCATTTATATTTCCATTCTACATTTAGAGTCAGAATAACTATAAAAATATATCATTATGCAAATCAAATAAAACAATCTACGAACTGGAAGTTATAATATAAATTCACGACTCGATACATTGTTTCAGACATATTGCTTTATTTCATTTATATATTAGAACTGAAGCCAGACGTCTTAAATTTTTTCCAGGTGTTCACTTATTAAACAATTGTTATCTCTTAGCTATATTATATTTGTTTTTGTTTTTGTGTGTTTTTTTTTTTGTCACAAACTAATTATGTTTATATGACAATAAAGATATTATACATCAGAAAACCGCAACCAAAATAAATTCATACATGGAAGAGAAAGTATGTTAAAGTTGATAATAAATGTATAAGAAACTAACAACGATCTGTAATCAACAGCAAATTCTCAAAACACCTAAAAAAAAAAAAAAAAAAAAAAAAACAGCACATAAAGTCTATAGTAATATAAAACATGTTTTCTTGTATTTTTCGAAACATTTTACTATTGAAACAACCTGATGCAAATTCATATTAGTTTTCTTTTCTTTTCTTTGTAGAAATTATGAATGGAACTGTTTATATTTCGATGAACAATCTTTTGTGTCATGCAACAACGATAAGATGGGAAGACATTAATCCTACTGTGACACAACATTTTCGCACGAGCATGGACAGTCCCGGTTATAAAAGACTTTGTAAGTGAATAATTTGAAAAAAAAATAGTTTGTAACCTTTCCTTGACAAAAAAAGTGAAAGCATATACGAAACGCTTAAATTCTGGATTTGCTTTAATCAGGAACACTCAAAGCCGAATATCAAAAAGCCAAAAATGTATATGAGCCGAAACAGTGGAAGACATAACTAACCAAAAAGCACATAAAGAAGTACTAACTTCTGAGCTGAATACACTCTAAAGGACTGATAGTCCACTAACAGAGGTATCGAGCCAGTGCTGTGAAAAATGAAAACAACACGTTATAAGTTTAATGAAAATGTTGATCATCAGGGCTTTGCTAATCTTGTAGGGATTTTTGTATTTAATGAATGACTAAAACGTTACATATTTTTCTATGTTTTCCATACCCATGTGGTAAGGAGCGAATTTTTGTATGTTTATTTAGATAATCACGTTTTGTGCGCAATCAAACTTGTAATATACACTTCCATGGCAGGAGGATATCGACAGACGAGACGGAATTATCCACCCTTCCAGATAAGCTGCTTACACATTTTGTCTTTATATGTTGGGTGTTTACTTATCTTTTGTTGTTACTTTCGATCGAAAGAAGATACTTAAACTAAAGTTGTAAGACCACCAAATCTTTGCTCAAATTAGCTTAATGTGTAGTATATTGGTATTGTGCTAACATTTGTTTCTCATTTTTGTTTCTTTTTGCAAGAAACGTGTGTTTCTCGTCGACTACTGTTTCTTTTTACGTTTTTAAAAACATTTCAAATCTCTCGTCATAACGATCAAAATGTAAAGTGAACAGCTCTGTCATAATATAACATGTATAAGTCAAAGAACTGTCATAGAACACGACAAAGAACTGTCATAACATACGCCACAGAACTGTCATAATATACCCCATAGAACTGTCATAATATACCCAATAGAACTGTAATAGTATACGCCATTAAACTGTTCTAAACGGTTTCATAAGAGTATTACCTTAAAACACATATTACTCGATTAGAAATTGTTTTACAGGTGGTGAGTGTGATGCAGCATGTTATAATGAGAATACAGGTTCTAGACATTGCTGGGGAGAAGGACCAGATATGTGTCAAATAAGTTAGTTATATATAATTCCTGCAGAAGCATATTCCTATTTATAAATAAGTAATGTAGAAATAAGAGCTACAGTAATGAAACAGTTATAAACATGTTCGACCAATCGTTTCATCTGTGTTTCACTGGTTTAGACGATGGACTTTTCCAAATGCATAATAAATAAAGATCATTTATATCACCTAGATCCACCCATTTTCTTGTTTAGTGATTTATACTTCTAGTTCAGTAGATTTTAGTAAAAGTTACACACAGCAAGGAAAAATTGTTAACAATATTTTCAGTTGAGCCCTAAAAACAGTTATCATTGACACTTGTTTCGGAGGTTGTCACTGTTAGCATTGACTACAATACATATTGTTAATATAACAATAATAAATCAATTAATATACTTTAAGTGCTAAAACTGCTAATGAAAACAATTCAAACAAGACGTTAGATTATTAGGAATATTTACAGTAATAATTTGGTGTTGTTTCTATTTCAATAATTCACGTGGTGAACATACATTGTTTTTTTAGTCATTAAGATTATAACACAATGTTGACTATTGTACCCCTATTTTGGCATGTTTACCAATTATGTCTGTTTGTTTTGTTCACACATCGTTGTCAATATAATGGAATTCTAAGACTATACGACTGTCATACAAGTGAGTTTCTCGTGTTTTCATATACGTGTTACTATCAATCTTCAACTTCATTTTAGCCTTATTCAAACATTAGGAAGAATGAAGATTTTATATATAAAAAAAGGCAAAAACGTATACCCAAAGTCGGTCGGGGAAAAGTGAGCGTTGCATATCGGAAATGTATTCCTTAATCTTAAATAATTGTCTATATTTCGTAACAAAATTTTGTATACATGTACTGATACAAATTGCGTTTCAATTTTGAACCACAATTTACATTTTTTGACATTTTTAGTAAACCATGGTCCTGCATGCAGTCAAACGTGTACAGATAGATGTTTTGGTACTGGTCAAAATCAGTGTTGTCATTCTGAATGTGCTGCTGGATGTAGTGGACCAAAGTCAACAGATTGTTATGTAAATCAGTTTTCATTATCTACTGTCCTACATATTACAAATTACAAAAGAGAATGAATTTGTGACAGTTGTACACTGTATAACGTAAATCCCGCGAAAATAAGGAAATGAAAAAACCAATAAAGTCGCAGAACAGTCCTTACAATTGAAATGTACAAAAGTGACAAACTAAGACAGGTTAAACCCGGCAACTTCTAGAATCGAATATATATACTCCATTATACTACTGATCGTATATAACAAGGGTTTCTAATTTCACATGAAACATAGTAAGTTAGCTCCAAATGATATCAATTTTGAGACAAACAAGTTATCACAATTTTACTTTTTAAGTACCTCATACAGGTAGATTCCAGCTTACCATAAAAACAATAAAAAAATGTTTCATACTAAGTTATCTTTCCAGAAGGAAAGGTGGGATTCAAAAGAAAAATATATCTCAATAAAATATACCTTAATAACTTGAAGACTCAAAAGCTGCCCAAAATTTCTAAGATAAAATCATCTTTCAAAATTAAATTCGGTAACGTAAATTCTTACTTATAACCTCAAAATTTTATGTCTACATCACCAATGATTGGTTTGAGTCAAATGTGCACAAAAACACTTTCTATGTCTGGGATCATGTTTGTTAACTACGAGTACTGTTTGCTCATGGTTCTTAACTTGATCGTTGCTGTAGAATTAAATTCACTGAAGAATTCCACAACAAACGGTGCATTAATACAAGCATACTGTTACTCTGTATGCGCTTTTGAGTCGAACTCAATTCAATTGACCAACTTCTAGAACTCTAGCCCAACCTCTTCCTTGTATCGATAGAACCACGATTCAAATTAAAATGTGTTTCCTGTGCATAATTAAATCAACAAATAAATTGTTTGAATCGTTAACTAACACATTAAGCACGTAGGGTTTTGTTTATGATAGCTTTATTTCAAACTTTAAAAACAACAACATTTATTTTATTAAATTTTGAATTGATTTCAATTCCATGTTTGAATAAAATTGATTATGGTAATGGGGAATATGTCAATGAGACAACAATCCGACCAAAGAGCCGAAGGTCACCTATGGGTCTTCAATGGAGCGATAAAATCCCGCATCCGGAGGTGGGCCTCAGCTGGCCCCTAAATAAAAATGCATAGTAGTTCAGTGAAAATGACTAATTAATACATGTTCTTCACCCATATGCTTTGCAATACTATAACAATATTTTGTTTTTACATTTCCATGCATTCGCTCAGATTCAACGCAACGTTTTACAGGAGTAAGGAAGAATGTCAAGTATTGTATTTGCAAGTCATGCATAACTCAAGTTGTGAAAAGTGAATACATGTGTTTAATATCATATGGTTGATCACATCATTTTTAGGCTTGCAAAAGTTTTGTAAACGATGGGAAATGTGTCAGTAGCTGTCCATCAGGTATGGTGTATAATCAGCAACACGAGCTAGATCTGCAAGAAAACGTAGATGGGAAATTAACGTATGGTATACTTTGTACGGCAAACTGTCCGCGTGAGTATCTGAAGGTCTCATATTCATAACACTTCATATAAAATGAAGACATCTTTGAGTACCGGTGTGTCAAAGAAGACATCGAGTTATCGTATTTATATATTTGAAGGAGAACATTTTCTTATCTGAATACAAAATATGTTTCAAACATTAAAAGTAAACTTCTTTGTTTTTTGCATTTTGATAATAGTTCAGTAACATGTAGAATACAACAAGCAAAGTATTGTTACAACGGTAAACCGTACTTAAACCTAGAGCTGTGAGAGACTACATAAATGATACTTCCACCTCGCACTTTGACTTAACTTGTTTTTGTGTGCATGTGATATACATGCTTTGATACGGACTATTATTATATTTTATACATAAAAAAATCAATGAATATGTTATTCCACGATAAATTTTATATTTGTATTTAAAGCACAATTGTTGAAAGATGCCGAACATAATACGTGTGTGCATAGTTGTCGACCAAACATGTATAACGTGGGTGGTACCTGTGTGGAATGTGATGGCCCTTGTCCAAAAAGTATGTATTATTAGTGCAATGGTATTTCACAAACTTATTCAAATAATTGATTGCTATGTGTTTTGAATGTGATAGCACCTGTCCTAAATATGCGTTTTCAGTACGATGGTGATTGTGTATTTATCAACACCTTTCGAAATTGTCAGTCGTCAAAACTCTCACACATCGTCACTGAGGAGTAACTTGTGTAGATGACACGTGATCTGGTGTACACATTTATAGACCTGACATCTTTGGTGAGATTTTTTTAATAATTAACTTTTTTTTTTAAATTAATTTAACCTGTGTTAAAAATTTAGGAAAACTGTTTTTTTTTAACGAACAAACCAAACTAGTATTACATATGAATTGGACCTTTGTAAAATATAAGGGAAAACAAACCCCTGAAAAAACTTGCAAATTTATTGTATACCAGGAACATATATATATATAGATATACTGTTTACAGTGTATATGAATAGTAATAAAAAGTAAAATCACAAAAAACTCGGAAGAAAATTCAAAAAGAAAAGTCCCTAATCAAATGGCAAAATCAAAAGCTCAAACACATCAAACGAATGAATAACAACTGTCATATTCCTGACTTGGTACAAGCATTTTCTTATGTAGAAAATAGTGGATTTAATCTGGTTTTATAGCTAGCTAAACCTCTCACTTGTATGATAATCGTATGAAATTCCATTATATTGACATCTTTGGTGAGTTTTTTTTAATAATTAACTTGTTTTTTAAAATTAATTTAACCTGTGTTAAAAATTTAGGAAAACTGTTTTTTTTTTTAACGAACAAACTAGTATTACATATGAATTGGACCTTTGTAAAATATAAGAGAAAACAAACCCCTGCAAAAACTTGCAAATTTATTGTATACCAGGAACATATATATATATATATAGATATACTGTTTACAGTGTATATGAATAGTAATAAAAAGTAAAATCACAAAAAACTCGGAGGAAAATTCAAAAAGAAAAGTCCCTAATCAAATGGCAAAATCAAAAGCTCAAACACATCAAACTAATGGATAACAACTGTCATATTCCTGACTTGGTACAAGCATTTTCTTATGTAGAAAATAGTGGATTTAACCTGGTTTTATAGCTAGCTAAGCTTCTCACTTGTATGATAATCGCATGAAATTCCATTATATTGACAACGATGTATGACCAAAACAAAGAGACATAATAGGTATAAAAGTCAAACATAGGGGTACAGATGTCAACATTGTGTTATTATCTTAATCACTATAAAAACAAACAAATATATAAACAAACACATTAACACAATGACGGGATGTATAAGAAAAGAACCACGTCGTATGTTAAAAAAAACCAAAAGGCATATAGACAAAGCATAATAGCAAAAACATGAAAGATAAGAGTACAAAAATTATCATAGAACAATGACGGGATGTATCAGTACAGAGCCACGTCATTGAAACAATAAAACACTAAAAAGCATATAGACAAAGCATATTAGCAAAAATGAAAAACCAGAATTCAAAATTATAGAACAATAACACAATGACGGGATGTATAAGTACAGAGCCATGTCAAATGGATACCACCAAAAACAGATTAAACAGTAAAAGTAATATTCATAAAGACAAATAAAAGAATACTATAACACATTATTAAGATGATAAACAACGTCAGTACCAAGAATCTATACTTCAAGACCATCGTGTCTTATTTATGAAGTTGATACCGAATAATTATCAACAAGATTTTGGTACCTTTCGATGACTTTTTTTAGAAAAAGGACGAGACGTTCTTTGAAATACTCCTGGTTCATTAACTTTCTGCTCAGACACTGGTGACGTTTTACAAAGTCTAATTAGTTGCTGCATGCTCTTGAATACCGAATAAGTTGGGAAATGTATATCCCAAATGCAGGTGAAGTTGATATATTGCTACTAAGGTGGGGGAAATTGATAATTTAAAATCGTCTCGTTGGTCATAGATTCTGGTACTGAGATGACCGTGTATGTCAAATTGAGGTATATGGCCAAAAATGAGGCGGAGGAAACCGTGTTTGTTGTTTCTTCAATAAAAGATGTTTGCTATTAATATTTGGTGTGATACTTGTACATGTTGAATAAACATGTTTGGTGAAATATAGGGTACTTTAAGTACTTTACAAGTATGATACCGTCCCCTATCACTCTTATGTACACCAACAAATATGGTTCAGTGTTTTTGTTATGATTTATAGATAAGGTCAAAAACACAACAAATCATTTTAAAATCAGTATTCGCTATCCGTAAGATATCGACACAATTTTGGTATCCTTGATTTTTTTATCAAGTTCAGTTACAAAACTCCTTTTCAATTTACAGAGCAGACGATCAATTAGGCATATCGTTTATTGACAAAGAATTATATTTTTTTGTTAATGTTAATGTTAAACGTTTGTAATAAGTTTTGAATTTTAGATACATTGGTCTCGAGGATCAATGAAGAGAAATCAAGTTCCAAAATGCACATCTATTTCTACTGTTGCTATTTCGACAATGATATATTTGTTCTGCCTTTAATTATTTTTTATAACCATTTTGGATTTTTTACTAAGTTTAAATCATTTCAAATTTAAGAATGTATTGTTCTAATGCAGAGCTCTGAATTCTTGACCGATTTTGGCTAAATGTTTTGACTATTTCGGTTTTATCAGCTATTTAATGTTCTTATAAATTTAGGCATGTGGCATAACTGAAGAGACATTAATTGTCATCAGTAAAATTGATAACGTTAATGATATTATTCGAAAGGTGTTATTTGTTGAAATGCTCACCAATATCGATACAATTAGTTCCGTTGAATGTACGGAATACCACCAGATCGATATAAATACGGTTAGTCTCCGATGATATTTTGAACAGATATATCATGTTATGGAGGGGTATTTGCGAAAAATACCAGTCAAGGGACGGTAAAATTTCCCAAGCCGCTAGGCGAGGGAAATTTGGTCCCAAGACTGGTATTTTTCGCAAATACCCCTCCATAATATGATTTATCTGTTTAATTACACCTAATAGATTTTGATTGAAACTGTCTGTACATGTGAAGGGAAATCGTAGTACCGCTGGAATTATACATGTACTTATATGCGTTAGTGCTGTCTTTTTGTAACGTCATGGTATCTATATGTGTAAACGTCATTGTTACTCCATCATTAAATAGTTCATTTGTATAGACTTTTTCCCCCTCTTTATATGTATAGTTCTGAGAGTTTTCGGTTCAACTCAATCAATAGTGCTTAACCATGTTGTCGGGATAAAGTGAGAAAGGGTCCAAATACTTTTGGCGGGAACAGGCTCGCGAGTGTAAAAAAGGAATATCCAAAATGGCAAATACCACGGTAGAGAGGGGAATTTGAGGCAAATTCACTGGCAGTGGTGAAAAAACAGGCAAATTCGTTTGAAATGAGAAAAAAATGTTTGAATATGCGAAAAATACACTGGCTAACAACCAATCAAAATCCGGCATTCTTATATAAGGTGTAATTACAAGCAAAATAGCTGGGATAACATTAAGATATTCCTGTATAAAAATTGCATGCATATAACATCTTGAAATGGTAGGAAACAAAGATCGTTTCTCCCTCCAGTAAAGTTCTAGTTTCTGATCTGCGATTTACTTAAAGTGTAGCTTGTTTCGGTTACCTAGCGAACCAGCTCTCTAAAAAAGAGCCTGAAGATACCAAGGGGCATTCAAAACTCAAAAATTAGAAAAATATTTGACAATGTCTTGCAAAAAGGACTAAAATACAAACAAATCCACGAGACTCTACATAGAAACTACAGATTGAGCAAAACCCACATAATCAATGATCTAGAATCTAAGTTACTCTGGAAGGGCAAGTAGATGTAACTCCATATTTGGCGCTCGTCTCCTACGTTGCTTTACTTTTTATCATTTCTAATTATTCAACATCGATCTTCACTCGAAAAAACGATATTTGTCCGAATGATTAGCTCGAACTTATCATTAATTTTTGAAATTAGTATGGGTAAAATTGAGAATGGAAATGGGGAATGTGTCAAAGAGACAACAACCCGACCATAGAACAGACAACAGCAGAAGGTCACCAACAGGTCTTCAATGTAGCGAGAAATTCCCGCACCCGGAGATGTTTGTATTTGTTTATTTTGCACATTATTTAGCCTTTTTGAACAAGGCATTTTATTTTTTGAAATAAGTTTAAATACATTTTACAAGAAAATTGCTGTCGTGTACTCATTCTGTTTTATTACAAAATAAAACTGATTTCTACTTCACAGCATGTATTGGTCTATCTGGTGCGGATTATATCACCGCAAACAACATCAAACAGTTTGAAAAGTGCACAGTGATAACTGGTAATCTAAGAATTTTAGAAGTTTCATTTAATGGGTAAGATTGTTATGGAACATACTATTCTCCAAATTCTATCACGTAATGGATAGGGGCATGTGGCCACATTTATAAAACTTTTCAAAACTTAATTATTTTTTAATACTAAGACTTGTTTACCCAAGGAATAGACGACCATAAAAGAATTTGGCAAAATTTTTGGGTCCTCAATACTTTTCAACTTCGTAGTTTTTTGGGCCTTTGAGCGTTTTTGATGCGAGCATTAATAATGTATCCATTGTGTATTTTGTAGACATAACTTGAAGCTGTGTATCATTAAAAGGTTAAGGTTATTTTCGACTCTTGTTTTTTTTTTAGTTTGGTTATATGATCGGAATCCTCCGGTTTTATCAATGTAGTGCCAAGAAAATATTTTGTCCGCTAACCCCTAGTTTTTCCAGTCAAATTTTCAAAAAGTTGTAACTCAAAAGAATATGAACATGTTATTTTTTCTACTTTGTTGATGCCGTTATGTATATACTACCTAATTAGAACACTCTTTAAAACAAACCCTTGTTATTTTGAAATACAGGAGCGAGTATCCCTAATCTATAACTTTAAATGGCTACTGGTTACTGCTTCGATTTTGTTAATCGTTTTCATTAGTATTTCTAAGTACCTAAAATTTGCATATTATCCGATGTCTGTTTAAACCAATGTCTTCCTACCTAAATTCTGGATACTTTTAAACATTTAAAATCAAAATCCCAGTTGTATTATTGAGTCATCGTTTTTTTTTCAGTTCCAGTGGAATAACATTTTAAAGGAAATAGAATGCATAATATGTCTTTTCGATTCGAATGAAACACGTTAACAAATACATTATTATATCGTTAATAAATAAACCATGGTATATTTTTTCTCAGAGATTTTCAATACTATATACCGGGTATAACAGTTGTCGATTTACAAGTCTTCAAGAATTTAAAGGAAGTAACGGGATACGTGCAGATACAATCAAATGACCCAGAGATGACAACAGTGTCTTTCCTGTCAAACCTAGAGGTTATCCATGGAAGGGAACTTGATGCGTAAGCTTTTGTCATATATCGTGATAATTGATATTCATTTACTGCATGTAAAACATTATACTTGATGTTGATAGTAATTGTTAATATGACGCATTGCTGAATTCATTTAACAAGTATATTTTATATAACACTTCTGCAAGTATAAAATCCTGAGTATACTTCGTTAATTATCGTCATATTAACAGTGTACTAAGTTATGAAAAGATTACTTATTTCACGTCGTCATGATCATTTACCAAGATATAAATTGTTACATATTGTACAAGAGTCCTAAAACAATATATATGGGTCAGTAAGTTTCATATGTGGTGAAAGCAAAGCTAGCCAATTCCGTATACTTTTTCTATATGAGTCATAGACTGACAGAGACTTAAATACTAGTAGTAACTAAAAAATCATGTCACACATAATGTCTCCAAATTGAAAATGTCAAAATATTCAAAGCCATTCAAAGCCTTTTGTACAGTAACATCACTGTTTCTTAATTTTTTTCCAGAACGCAAAGCTCTCTCAATATCATGTTTACTCAAATCAGAACGCTGGGTCTGACGTCACTAAGGCAGATAAAAAACGGACATGTGACCATAGCTTATAATCCCTTATACTGTAACGAATCAAACATCAATTTCCAATCAATGTTGGTTCAGAAATCAGTACAGAGAGTACGAATCATCCGCAATGAGAGCCCAGAAATTTGCAGTAAGTACAAGTACATTGTGACAGAAATATGTGTAGAAAGTAAGAACTATCAACAGTCAGACATGAGAGTGATGCAGTAAGTACAAATACATTATGACAGAAATCTGCGTAGAAAGTAAGAACTATCAACAGTCAGACATGAGAGTGATGCAGTAAGTACAAATACATTATGACAGAAATCTGCGTAGAAAGTAAGAACTATCAACAGTCAGACATGAGAGTGATGCAGTAAGTACAAATACATTATGACAGAAATATGAGTAGAAAGTAAAAACTATCAACAGTCAGACATGAGAATTATACAGTAAGTAAATTATATAGTGTCAGAAATGAATACAGACATACATAATTGTTTAGTAAGTGAACTTATATTGTGGAAGAAATCTTTTGAAGGAGTAGGAACTATCAGTAACCAGAAACCAACATGGTGTAGTACAATGTAAATACACATACCTTTTGTCAGGAATCTCTGTTGATAGTGAAATAGTAAAAATTATCAGCAACCAAAGAAAAGAATGGTGTTGTAAGTTTCAATACGTTTTTTCAGCATCTTTGCAGAGAAAGGAAACTATCAACAATCAGATACAAGAATGGTTTAGTTAATACACAAAAATAGTGTCAGGAATATGTGTTGAGAAAAAATATTTTCAACAACCGGAGGATATAATGGAGTAGTTTGTACAAACCCATTGTGCCAGGAATCTATGTTGCGTGTAGAAACTATGAGCAATCAAAGAAAATAATGGTGTGGTAAGTTCAAATCAATTGTGCCAGAATCTTTGCTGAGGGTAGGACCTATCAGCAGCCAGGAGCATGTTTTGTCCAGTAGGTACATCCACAATGTGTGAGGAATCTGTGAAGCAAGAAAGATCTATTAGCAACCGGATGGTGTAGTAAATAGAAATCCATTGTGTCAGAAATTTTTGCACACAGTTGCAATTTGATGCGAATGTCATACAAGTGAGAGGTTTAGCTAGCTATAAAACCAGGTTTATTCCACCATGTTTTACCAAGTCACGAGTATGACAGCTGTTATCCATTCGTTAGATGTGTTTGAGCTTTGATTTTGCCATTTGCTTAGGGACTTTCCGTTTAGAATCTTTCTCGGAGTTGTGGGATATTTTTGTTATTTTCCTTTTTTGGAGCTATCAGCAACCAGAGTCTGACTATTTTAGTAGGTACAAATACAATACCAATGCCGAATCATGCAATTATTTTCTGGACAAGTAAATTTTTAACCATTTGGCATTTGGATACAAAAACATATTTTGCCTTCATTTGCCGTTGTGTTCCTGTCATAGTGATATATTCCTTGCATATTCTTTTTCACAATTGGCAACAAATATGATATGCTAAATTTCAACGTATGTGTTATCAAGGACTTAGGATGTTAGGCTGGGTAATACATTGAATACACTGTATTTCTAAATGACTGAAACTTTCATCAATTCGAGGTCGATTCGTCACATTGATTGTTTAATTAACACACGGACGGAAGTATTTATTTACATACGTTTACAAGGATGCAGACTAAACTGTACAAGGTTCCTTAACAAGTCTCTGCTTCAGAATTACAACTATAATAGGTACTTTCATTGTTCGCATCCAAAAATGAAAATCATGCCATGTCTTTGGTTAATCATTCAATGATTAAAACGTTTTTTATCACATCTTTTTGGTGTACGCGTTTGAAATTTGAAAAATGCATTAAATTTCTTTATGGATAATCAAACGATGGTTGTTAAAAGGGAATGCGCAGTTTAAATGTTTTACAGAGATTATTCATAATACTCCTCTGCTTGACAGATCAGCAAAGCAGCATATACACTGCTGGAGCAATGGGGGAGGGTTACACCTCAATAACACATCATCTTATTTACAACACATTGCTACACAACATTTCTTTTTACAATAAGCATGTACTTCGTTTGGGTTTTTAAACCTTGGCATCGTGATTGATAAGTGAATTATTGGCGGGACGGAAGAAAATCAAAAATAACTATGTTAAAGAAACAACAATGATCAACGTGATCGCATTTTACGATAAAAAATATTCTTGTCGGATTGTTTCTGTTGGAAGACGGAAGGGAGGCAACAGCATAGATAAAAATGATATTAAAAGGACATAAAAAACCACAACATTAAATACCTTTCATACTAGTGGATATCGTCAAAAAAAATTAACAACAGTATTTTATTTTATATAAGGTAGAAAGAACAGGCAGGAGAAACTTACCTTGCCCATTGGAGAATAAAAGTATACTTCGCATGAATTCTATTTATCCTGTTTCATTGGCCTCTGTGTGTTTTTTATTTCTATGTATAAAATCAACTTGTTTTTTATTACAGATAATACGACGGTTCTCGAATGACTAGCGCTGTACAAGTTAACATCTGTATCATTTGCTGTCATATATAAATAAAAATTGATTCTTTATCAACAAATACATTTTATTATTTTTTGTATGGTATGCTATAATTTGAATAAATACTTTATGCATAAAGAAATTTACCAAGTTCTCAATCAAAAACCATAATGCTAAATACAAAGAGACAACACCATTGCTAAAATCAACGCAGAAAAATCTCAATAAAAATACATAAGTTATGATTGAGAAACATGAATCCCATTGTCACCATGGGATGATTGGTAGAAAGCTCATGCTCCTTAATTGTACGTATCGTGGTACATATTGCCAATAGCACTCCTGCTCCTTCGTTGTACATCTTGAGTTACTCATTGCCAAAAGCATTCATGGTAAAAGTCACATTCGGTACGGTCACAATTCAAGAAAGGTTGGCGGGATTATGTTAACGATGAGATGAACATATTTATAACACCGATATTCCATTACGGTCAACCAATATAAACATACATTTCCATAGAGCATGTGTATATGGGTCAATATGGTTAATTGATTTCTAATAGGCGGTAATGGTAACGTTTTCTTCAGTAGATCAGTCCATATCGTAAACTTGTATGTTTGAGACATTTTCAAATATGTGCATGTTTCGGGGTACGATGTGAGATTCATTTCTTCGTTAATTAGAATACCCCAAAAATCCTTTAGTGATGCGGCTAATGGAGATAAAAAATCCCTTTTTACACTAAAGGTTCTTTGAAAATTTAGTACTTTGCACACATTAAATAACTTCATAGTTTTTACACATTTATTCTTTGGTTCTCTCCTCTACAAAGGAACACAAACGGTAAAACGCAGTCACTTGTTAAAAAAAGAAACATTACCAATATCACCATATAGAGATTTTTTGTTTTCGCACAACTTTTGAGCTCCTCACATTGAGGCGCATTATAAATCTTGTCTTTATTTTAGTCGACTCCTCGGTGTGGTTTATTAATACTGTTGTTTAGATTATTGAATATTTCATAGTCGTTGCTCAGCCAAATGTCATGGTGTCCGTTAATTTTTCGAATGGATAACTGTTACATTACATCTAGGAGCCTTCGGTTTAGAATCTTCAAAAGCAATGCTATCATCTTCAAAAAATGAAATCAACGCGTTATATATTGCAAGTGTCTAAAGCACGTTTCTGGGTTAACCTTCATCAGGAACGCGGAATGCAAAGGATTTGAAAGCCACTGATGTAGGAGAACCGAAACAGTTGGAGAGCTATACGAACAAAAAAGAAATAAAAAAACGGTCAAATCCATTTAAGGTCAACTTTGCCTGTTGGAGTTGAACCTGCTGCGTAATTTCATGCCCTACTTTTATGAAACAACTATCGCAGTAAGGAAAGGACGACATGAATTCACAGCAACAGGTTTAATGTAGGTAGTGTGTGTTTATTTTCAGAATGTGCCGGATATTCTGTTAAGGTACTGTTTTTCTTGTTCGTGTTTTTGTTATACATGTCTATTGTTCCGTAATAATATAGTTAACTTCTTTCTAGTTTTAATTTGTATTTTGTGTAAATGTCTTTACTTGTTCTTCAATCAATGATAAACATTTAAAGAGGTTAGATTAAAATCTAGAACAAACATAGAAAAACCTGTTTTATTGTTAATTATTAATTGATGGCTTTTCTTTGTCAAATCTCTACCTATTTTACGTTATATTGATATTCGGTTAAATTGACAGACTTTTGTCAGCCTTGTTCATTTTAAGTCAGATCAGTTCAAACACTTTCAATACGTGTTGGTTAAGTTGAAAACTTCAATACTAATCCTACTGAACAAGACTTCAACAATCAATCTTAGACTAATGATCAACATGATAAAGGTGTTAAAGGAAATACACAACCGGTAGATCCGTTAAACGATAATGACGTAACGGTAATAGTATAAAATTTACCATTCACTGAAGCCGAGAATCTCACAGACAAAGTTCAAAAGCTAATAGACAGCTTCGGCGAAGTTTCTTTTCACATATCAATGATTGCACCAAAACACTTGACAACACGATGTCAAAACTAACCAAGTCTCGTTAAAATCAGTTTTCAAAGTCAGGATCAGAAAATACCTATACTCAGAAATAAACATAAGTTGAAAAATATTGGTTCTTAAAAACATGTTTACATCATGTCCTCTAAATCACGTATTGAACGATTAATCGAAAAAAATACACGCACGATTTTACGGGAATTACCACAAGGTTAATCGTACAGAGTTATCGCAAACGGAAAATTCTGAAAAAATCGAATAAATTGGTTGATTGGTTGCTGATACTGACAATACTGACTTGGAAACAAAGAGCGATTAGGGCAACACCCGGAACAATGGTAATATTAGAGTGGGACACTTAAATATATGCAGATGGACCCAAAATAATAAGGAATTACGTACAATTTTAGTAGAAGTGAATGCAGACATTTTTAGTATCTGTGAAACGCATTTGAAATCAATGCAATTAAAGATGATGGTTACACTTGGAAAGGATTAAAAAGACAATACATACATAGGAATGACCCAAAGGCATCAGGTGGTGTAGGACTCTTGATTAAAAACTGGATTTTTTACGCATATAAATATGAAACGTTTGACATAACTCGGGATGTCTTTATATGTGGTAAATTTCAGTATTTTTGTGTTACTTACCTCCTGAAAACTCAGTTTTCTGGAAGAGATTCAGAAGGATATTTTGCACATATCTTAACTGATATATACGAACAATGCGATACGGAAGATATTTTTCTTTGTGGCGATTTTAAATCAAGAATAGGATTACTGAAGGATTATTATGATTTTGATGAATTACTGTTTCGATTATCGCTAGATAAAACCGTTAACCAACATAGGAACACCTTCTTTTAATTTTTGAACGAATCGAAAATATGCGTCTTGAATGGAAACTTCGATCAAGACAAAGATAATTTCACATTCATTTCAGGGAGAGGAAAATCCGTTGTAGACTACATTTGTATCCCGCAAGATTATCTCGACCAGTGTATTTCGTTTGAAACAAACACAACTAGATATATTCATGATATTGCAGAAAAGGCAAATATGTTCAACTTCCTCGGTGAACGTAGCAAACTTCCGGATCATTCAGTCTTGGTAACATAATTTAAATCTATAAAACCACAATTGCAGACACTATTCCAGGCAGCCCTACTCCATCGATGAAGCGATTTAAATTGAAATTAATGCCAAATAATATGTTTTCTTCTGATATGTGTAAACTTGCATTACAAAATTATAAGTCACATTGAACAAACTAGAAAAACTCCAGTCTTAAACACCAGTGGATCCTCGAAAAAACGGCTAAAGGTGAAAAAGCTATTTTGGAACGATGAACTACAAACATTATGGAATAATATGCATTTAACAAAAAAGCAGTACTTGAAGTTCAATGGACGTACCAATGTGAAAAAATGAACTAATAACAAAGTTCCAGTTAGCGCAAAAAAACGTTGCCCGCTAGCTACGCCAGTATGAAAGGCAATATTAGCAAAGAATGTGCACTGACATTAAAACTATGACGACGAATAATACAAATGATTTTTTGATTAAATCAAACAGCTAGGGCCTCGTAGACATTCTTCTATTCCAATGGAAATATATGACAAAGATGGTGAGATTGTTAGTGATGAAAAAGTTGTTTTAGAAAAATGGAAAACAGATTTTCTAAATATATATAATATGGAGAATTCAGCGGACGATTTCGATGGTAACTATAGATGAAATTAAGCGACTTGTCTCGAAAACAAAAAACGGTAAATCGTGTGGAAATGACAATATCCCGAATGAAGTATTGAAGACAGAAAACGTTATCACCGTCCTACATTCTATCTTTCAACTAGTTTTCGACACAAGCATTGTACCATCATTATGGCATCAGGCAAATATCTGTCCGATACTTAAAGACAAATCATCAGATAAACGCATTCCACTACATTATAGAGGAATTAGTTTGTTGTCGTGTGTTTCAGTTGTACAGTAGATTTATTAACACTAGATTGTTTTCATATTTTGAGAATAATGATTCAATTTCTGAGGAACATACGGCTTTCGTAAAAATCGTTCGTGTGAGGATCATAAATTCACCCTTAACAGCAGAATAAAAAACAATACAAATGTTATTGCCACATTTATTGATCTAAAAAAGGCTTTTGATTTCGTAGATCGTGATATGTTGCTGTACAAACTGTTGCTGAACAATATTGATGGGAAAATATATAACTCTATTAAACGTTTATATGTGCAAACAACCGCAAGTATTCGATTCAACAATTAAATGTCCGATTGGTTTTTATGTAACTCTGGTGTAAAAAAAGGGTGATAATTAATCTCCGACATTTTTTTCTGTTTTTTTATTGATGATCTTGTAGATGAAATCAACGAACTTGGACTTGGTTTAAATATTGAAGAATATAAATTGTCTTTACTTCTATATGCGGACGATATTGTTTTGTTGACCGAGAATGAATATGATATGCAACAGATGCTAGATAAATTACATGATTGGTGCAAACAATGGAGAGTATTAATAAATAAAGACAAGTCAAAAGTTGTACATTTCAGAGCATCTCGTAGAAAACGGAGTGAATTTCAGTTCAGAATCGGAGGAAACATTTTGCAAATTACAGACAAATATAAATACCTTGGATTTATTTTCAACTAGAAAAATATTATACGTCAAATCTTGAAAATCATTCTACAGCTGGTGGAAGAACACTCGGAGCTATTCTATCGAAGATACACAGTTTAAAAGAAGTTGACATACAGACTTATGAAAGACTGTATTGTTCTTGTATTGTGCCTATACTTGACTACTGTTCTACAGTGTGGGGTTATGAAGACTTTAATTGTGTCGACAATGTTAAAAACAAGGTCATAAGATACTTTTTAGGAGTTCACAAGTTTGCTCCTAAGCTGACTATCAACGTAGATGTTGGATGGTTACCTTCAAATAAACGTCGCTGGTGTAATATGGTTAGGTACTGGAACCGACTGATGGATATGGACAATAGTAGACTTTGTAAAAATGTGTTCCTATGGGACTACGAACTATGTACGAATAATTGGTCTTCTAATGTAAAAACAATAATGTCTTTAGTTGGTACAGATGATAACTTTCAACAAATGCTAAAAATGTGATGTTAACAGTGTCAGAAACAATCGTATGGATATATGTGCAACAAATTGGAATACAGATTAATCTAACTTTCCGAAACTGCGTACATATAGAACCTTTAAATCATCATATTCAACAGAAACATATTTTGAACTCATTTTAAAACGTAGTGAATGATCGGTACTGGTCTATTTTATATGTGGTATTCTTCCGCTAAGATTGGAAACAGGACGTTTTGTTGGTGAGCCAGAATACCAACGAATTTGCAGAATGTGCGACTCCGGACACGTTGAAAATGAACTACACTTTCTAGTTGAATGCCAATTTTATAATGGACTACGTGATCAATTATTCTCTGGGATTAAGCGAAACAGTATTAAATCTGAATAACAGTGAAAGGTTGAATTTCTTACTGTCTTGATATCCTCGAAAAGCAGCTCGTTACTTAGAACAGTCATTAACAAAACGCAGACAACACTTATATTTAAATAATTAACATGAATTGTGTTCCTGATATCAATCTGAATTAATACTATAGTATCTGTTAAAAGTGACATTTAGGTACATATTTTTGTTATACACAATGTCACTATGATAAACATATTTGTTTTGTATTGTATATTGCATAGGGAGAGTCAGAGGTGTGTGCATGATATGGCATTATGTCTATTAACCAAATAGTAAAAAACAGTAAACAATAAACCTGTAAACATCTGTCGAGTTCAATGTAGTTGTGATGCTTTCCTGTTGACTCATATCCAAATGTCTTTTGCAATCATGTATGTACCAATAATTAATATTCCACCATTGCAGTCATTATATTATTCAATATTCTTTTTCATCCTGCTTGTTAACGTCTTGATACTTAATTTGCTTTAACTAATTTCTGATTGAGCAATTTAAAAATTTTTTATGATGTATAATAAAAACTAGGCAAGGTTTTACATATATCGACTCTAATTAAGAAATAATTCATGAAAGCCATAGATTTGTTGGGAATTTACACATGGCCTGGGCCGTGATATTCGAATTTTATCCTGAGTAATGACATTAACAAACTATTCAGTGGTTCCACTAAAACTAATTTGATCATCTAATTGATGTTAACATCAAAACCTGCTGTTTTCTAATTTTTTTTAGCTCTTTTATTGATTTACAAATTTCATTTTCAGAAAAGATATACTTTAACTCGTTATATGTTTTTTCCTAATTTATATTAAAGTTTATCCATTCTTGAATTTGATCATGTTTCTTTATACAATTTCCTAAAATAAGCATACCAAGCGTTTTCTCATACAACACATGATATTGCTAGGATAATTATTTAAAACTTGTCTGAAAAAGAGAAACTGAAAATAGTATATTATTTTATTTACAAAGAGGAGTAATGCACAGTATTTATGAGGGAAACAAGGTGTATCATTAAAAGAGTGGCGTAAGATACCAGAGGGACATTCAAACTCATAAGTCAGAAAGAAAGTGACAAAGTCATTGCTAGAAAAGAAAAAGACAAACAGACTAAAAACCTTAAACAAAACACAACATAAAATGCTACAGAATTAGCAAAACGAAACCCAGGAAAAACCGGGGCGATCTAGGTGCTCCTGAAAATTCTTAACAATCAGTAATTTCGTCATGACGTCATGACGAAACTTTCGGCACTTTTGTGCTATTTCATGGCGTCAGATGTTATTGGTGGAGATTAACTGATAATCCTAGTCAATTAAAATAGAGTAGAGCGCACCTTCTATCTGTGCGATTCGAACTTACAACGTAGTTTGACTACTAAACCAATTACCACCAAGACCTCGCGAAAAGTCGTATCTGAACTTTAATGACATTTAAATTAATAGATGTATTATGTTTCCGTTTCTAACGACCTTTTATAAATGTTCAATAACCTTGTTTTAGATATCGTCAATAGCTCTTAATATGAGAAATTTTAGTAATTTTATGTAAATTGCTACAAACAGGAAATCATTCTAAATTGTCTCATTTAATACAAATGTGAATATATAGTTGTATCTGAATCTTGAACAGATCGAATCTACTATGGACATCATATATATGTTTGTTTTGTTTCCGGTTGTGTCAAAAAGTTTGGTAAGATATCTTTGGTATAAATTAGTATTAGTAAAACTTTGACTTTAATTTTTAATAGAAAGTAATTTCGAGGTGTCGTAAGCCAGTCCAGTGACATACACCATGTACAATGTTTATTTGAGGTTGACTCCGAGATTCATAAATGCTCTAATTTTAATACTAACGAATGCTTCATATAGATTTCTTTATAAAATACAAATGCAATTTTTGCCAATTTCTAATTGATAAAATTTGGTACACACTATGTATATTTTGAAATTAATCATTTTTACATTCGAGCAAACAAAAGATGAATCATATTGTGGATATGTACACCAGTATGTTAAGTCAGAAATTGCATTTAATATATAATCCGAATACTTTCCTTTTCGCAACGAATTTAAACTGCACGATTTATAAAATATTCAAAATGTAATACTACCTCTTTATCGAAGAATTGTTATGATACACTGATATACGTCAATGAGACCGCAACGCATTACATACACAAAATTAAAAGTTACAGTCAGAGTGATTCGACCATAGTGTATGATACACACCCTGCATATGATGCAAATGTGTACTAATTTTAGTAGAAGTTTTTCAGTACAAATGTAATGAGCAGGACTCAAAACTAAAGCGAGAACATTCGGAATAAAATTATTATACATTTTATGGCTTTTACTAAACAATCATTAAGGACTAGGGTCCAATGCAGTATATAATTTTGCACGAGTTTGCATAAATAGAATTGTATTTATTTACTGTCAGATTACTTGCAAATTTATTGATATTTAAAAACAATTCAATAGAATATTGCAGAACGAAATATAATTCAAAAAATTAAGGAAGAATACATAGGTTTTAGTTAACCGAAAGAGATCAGAAATTGATTTACGTTATCAATCCTAATGCATGACTATCATACAAGTGAGGTGTTTATCTAGCTATAACACCAGGTTTAATCCTCTGTTTTCTACACAAGGAAATGCCTGAACTGGAACAGGAATATGACAGTTGTTTATCGTTTGTTTAATATGTTTGATCTTTTATTTTAGCCATTTGCTAAGGGACTTTTCGGTTGGAATTTTCCTTGGAGTTTGGAATTTTTGTTATTTTTCTTTTTTTTTACCAGGGTAATTGCTTTCTTTTTAGTTTAGGTTGCTGTAGCATTTCATGTATAACCAGCATGTCTGTAAAAAGTTAAATCACAAAAATACTGAACCCCGAGGAAAATTCAAAACGGAATGTCCTTAATCAAACAGCAAAATCAAAAGCACAAACACATCAAACGAATGGACAACAACTGTCATATTCCTGACTTGGTACAGGCATTTTTTTATGTAGAAAATGGTGGATTAAACCTGCTTTTATAGCGCTAAACCTCTCACTTAACTTTTTATTTAAACATGTCCCTTGATTTATAAATTTGTATTTGTTTGTACAAATTCGATGGTACACATTTTTAAATTCACTAATGATTTCAATTTTAAAAATATTTTCAAACAAAATTCTATAATGTTTTATCATACATTTAATAACAAAGGAAACAAAGGAAACATGTTCGTCTGTAATGCAGTGTTATTACGTGTATGTTACGTGAAGTTGGATAACTTTTTAACCTTCCAGATCTTAATATACACATGTACCCATTTGTTGTCTTTACTTAAAACAATATGACTGTGTTGGGTAATTAACATAAATCAGTTTATCTTCTTTCATATTAAAGTAAATTTGGATGACGAAGTCAATTGAAATCTCATGATAATGAAATAAAGATGTTATTTAAATGTTTCCAAGAATTATTTCCAGAGGTATTATAATTTTTAGATATTATATAAATACGGTAGCGTAATCAATGAATACACTGTTAATACGTTTATAGATATCTAGGCTAACAATGGAGTCAAAATTTGCAAAAACATACAACATCTGTTGTTAAATACTGCGATTTTTTTTTATTATTATGTATAATGCGAATGATGCGACTGGATGAGATTCTCAATATTCTTAATATATATCTTAATGCACATTTTCCTGAAATCACAATAACTAATTTCGAATGTTTGATTATTGTTTAAGAATCGTAATAATAAATGCATGCAATAGTTTATGCATTTACAGTATCTAATATAATATCGGAAACGACAGGTTACTTTGCGGAAACGTGTCACCTAAAAAAACAAAACCACTGTGATATTGAGTTCAAGCTTGATATTAAGCTTAGAAACCATGTTTGCATGTACTTCAGATTTTGAATGACATTAGACATTATAATAAACGTAAGATAAAATATATAATTGGTATGGAGAGGGTTTAACGCTCACAAACAGGTTTAACACCGCCACATTCTTTATGTGCTGTCTCACTCAAGCCAGGAGCCTGTAGTTAAATGGTTGTCGTTGGTTTATATCTCATATTTTTGTTTCGTAGATTGTTTAGTTAAAAATTATGCCGTTAGTTTTCTAGTAAGAATCTTTACATTTTTTTTATGTATGGGCCTTTTACAGCCGACTGTACGGTTTTGGTTTTCTTTGATGTTGAAGATCATATGGTGGCATAAAAATGCTTACATCAACTTCTTTTAAACTCTGGGTGATAGTTGTCTCATTGGCAATCGTACCCCATCTCTAAATGATAAGAATTTCAAAATGATTACTTCTATTATTTGGTACCACAGAATGCTTGATGAAACGATACCAGGTTAATTTTAAATATTTAATATCCTTTTGGTAATAAAGATACGTAGCCAAGACCTTGTGGATACATATTCCGTATCAACTTTACAAATAATACATGATGGACTTGAAGTATTTATTCTAGGTAATAACGTTATTTATCATCTTAATTAGGGGTAAAAGTGTTTTTATTCGTCTTTGTATATTATTAACCTTAACTGTTCAGTTCATTTTGGTAATATCCTTTTAGCGTACTTATACATCTCGCCATTGTGTAATCGTGCTATGGTCATTTTTTTATGCGTGGTTTTCATTTTTGCTTATGTGTTTTGTTTAAACGAGATTTTGTTTTTCTTTGTTGACATATTTATTTGTTTTTATTGTGATTAAGATTATAATACAATGGTGACTGTTGTACCCTATTATTGACATTTTTACCAATGTCTGTTTGTTAACATAGCTATGCAACCATGTTTAATCCACCGTTTTCTACATAAGGAAACACCTGTACATGTCAGGATTACGACAGTTGTTTTCTATTCGTTTGATGAGCTTTTGGTTTTATTTTCCATTTAATAAGGGACTTTCCGTTTTCAATTTTCCTTGGAGTTCGTTTTTTTTTTTGTTATTTATGGATCAACAAAACTAGTGATCTTTTATGTCAATTTATTGAAATAGACATGTTTTTTATATGTTTTAAAACCAGCTTTAAAAAAAACATTTAAATACTTTCCAATCGTTATTTTGATCAAGGACGGTACATATTGTGTGACGTTAAATCATTTAATGAATAGTCCATTTTCATATTACCGACTTTTGACTCCGGAATTAATATTTTTCGACAGATAATCTTCTCTATGGTAGGACAGCCTGGTACTTGGTCAAGCAAGAGCAACGTAAATAAGTAAATTCAAGATTTTAATCGGTACAATTTTGAGGAAAAGTTAACTGCATAAATGCTTTCTATACATGACTAAATCATCGGAAAATAGTAAATTTCCCCAAAAATTGCACCCATCATATATTTGATTTGATTTTACTTTTTTTGGTTGCTCGTAATTGACCGAGTACCAGAATGTCCTACCACAGAGTAGGTAACCTGTTGAACAATTGTAGAACCCGGAGTCAAAAGTCGGTAATATGAAAATGGTCTATTGAAATCGGATATATCATCGATTTTTTTGTAGCTTGTCCTTGGTCGACAAGAGAATAATGAGCTTACAGAACGTTCATCTGATCAAAGTAAGTTAGTGCTATATACAGATGTTAAATAAATTCTTTAATGTTAAATTGTTGTAAGTGTTGAGAATGAAGACTGCTGGACAAACATGAACACAATTATTTCCCAAGGCATTCTTTTTTTTTTAGTCTAATTATAAAAATTAGTATACATTTTTGTTTAGGGATCAGCTAATACTCGCCTCTTGTATGGGGTTTTCTAGCTGTGTTGAAAAACTGTTTGTGGCCTCGTGCTGTTTTCTGCCCTTTAGTCGCATTAAAGTCACTTGACACATGACCAGTCTCTATTCTCTATTCTATTATTTTGTGATTTGATACTTTAGAAAATCATGAAAAAATAGAGCTTGACAAAGTGTAAAGATTTCTATATATAGCTAAGGCATCGTTTAATTTTTCTTATTAGAATTGAAGTTAAATTGAATAAAGTTCCTGAGCTGGTTCATGTTTGAACATTCACGACCTAACGTAGCAACTAAGTAATGATATCGCAATGAGATAGTGAGAGCAGAGGGTATGCTACTGCTGAGAATAGAAAGTTGACAATTGGAAAGTTGATATGATAACGTTTGTCATATATTTCAATTTAAAGTCGTCCATTAGTGTCAACACAGACGAAAGGAATTCCAAATAAGCACTTTGATGTCACTTTCCAGTTTTCTAAAATAGCCAAAACTCATATATGTTAGTATGTTATAAAAAGTGTAAAGCTATTTTACATGAGAAGAAAACACAGCCTTATCCATTCATATTGTTAACCTCTCCTCAGTTTTTCTTTTCCAAATGATGAAGATATCACAGTCATTGAAACACACGTAAATGAATTATATTAAAAACGGTTTGTGTGACATAGTTGGGTAATTTAGAAATAAATAAATATTAATGTGTTCTGAATTTCTTTTCGTATTTGACCTATTTTTTTTAAGAAATTGTTTATATGAATGTCATGAGTGATTAACCTTTAATACGACTGGTAAAGTTTGAAAACTGGAAGGAAAAACCTCACAAATCTTATAAATACTTCAAAAGGAAAATACAATTGGCAGTGAATAAATCTTTCTTTCAGTAGCGTACACATATTGTATAACATATCCTACAAAAGTCACACTTGAATTGAATGAATCATATTTATCAATTATGGACTTTTGACGAGAACAATACGTTATATATCGACCTGTTAAGATTATATTGACTGATGACGAAGTCCGAGAGTCAATATAATCTAACAGGTCCATATATAACGTTTTGAACGAGTGAAAGTCCTTAATTCATATATTACATATGTAAATAATGTATAAGGAAAATGGCGTTTAATGTTCTTTCTGTGTATTTTTAAATTGTATATTGCAAGTTGCTTCCTCCGTGGTTGTTATGTGATCTCATGTGTGACGTCATGACGTCATAAATCTAAATTTAGCATGATTGTTTTATATTGACTGTCAATATACTTCGTAAAATAACCTTTGAAACACGTGATCATAATATCCAACGAAAACAGTATAATGCTACACTATGTGTAATATGAGAGATTAAATAAACTCATATTAAACAAACACACTCATATATTAACTGATTACTTATTGATCAATTTATTAAAGTGCCATATGATCGAAATTGGTTGGTCATTGATAAAGAACAAGATTACGTACATGTCGGGGATAAACCTGAATACAGCTGTTCTACGAAAAACGACGTACAGTTTCTAATAGGCAATCCATTAAGATGGGAGAAAGTTGGTCGTGATGGTTCCCGCATCAAAATATCTACACTGGCCAATGTTGAGGAAGGACAACTTCGGAAATATAATGTTCTACTATACACGAATAACACTTATATGACTTTCAAATTGAGTTTTCCTCAAGGTATGTATTGTTACATTATCAAAACGTTTCATGTTTCTCATTGAATGAAGGTCGCTATTAAAAAGGCGTTGGCATGGCAAAGTGTACAACAGTTCATAGGAGAAAAACATCTTAGTTTTATTCTAGGATTAGATTATTGTACTATTAGTAGAAAATTACTGTTTTGTGGATTGTATTTTAACTCCTTTCATGTCATGATGTTGTCCGTTATTCCCAACCTTCACTATTTTGAATGCCTCCATCGTACTATGTTTGCAGAATTTGTCTGCATCTTGTTACTCAATTCTTCAATATTTTTGGCAACTTTTTGGATAATGTACACTATTTTCATTTACTATTTTAACAGATGGTACTTAGTATAAATTATATAGCTTTAACGATTCATTTTATTTTACCTTTTTTGCATATATATCTTAACTAATGAAGGATATTTCAGAAAAGAATTTGATAATCGAAGAGATCTGATTACCTTTTATCATAAAATAGTATACATATATCGACTCAAATGTTTTCAAAACTTTAAGATTGTTTATACTCTAAATTTAGCATTTTTAAGTTTCTATCAAGAAAGTAAAAATTATTTAAAACACAAGAGCCTTATCAACTGTCTTTTTATATATTATATCTCCATTAAAACGTTTCATTGATACTTATCATGCTTCGTTAATAATCTAATTAAAATACAGATCATGCTTCCACAGGTCGGTAACGTCCCGTTTGTGTACACTACCTGGTACGTTAACAAGTGTCTGACAATGCCCCGTTCATGTATACTACCCGATACAGTAACAAATATCAGACAACGCTCCATTCATGTATACTACCCGGTACGCTAACAAGTGTCTGACAATGCCCCGTTCATGTATACTACCCGATACAGTAACAAATATCAGACAACGCTCCATTCATGTATACTACCCGATACGGTAACAAATATCAGACAACAATCCATTCATGTATACTTCCCGGTACGGTAACAAGTGACTGATGACGCCCAGTTCATGTATACAACGGGGTACGGTAACAAGTATCTGATAATGCCCCGTTCATGTATACTACCTCGTAGAGTAGTAAATATGGGACAACGCCCTGTTCATTTTTACTAACTGGTAAGATAACAAGTATCTGACAACGCTTCGTTCATGTATACTACCCGCTACGGTAACAAATATCAGACAACGCTCCGTTCATGTATACCTCCCGGTACGGTTACAAATACTAGACAATAATTCGTTCATGTATACTACTCGATACGGTATCAAGTATCTGACAACGCTTCTTTCATGTATAAAACCCGCTACGGTAAAAATTATCAGACAACTCTCCGTTCATGTATACTACCAGGTGCGGTAACAAATATCAGACCAAACTCCGTTCATGTTTACTTTCCAGTACGGTTACAAGTATCTGACAACGCTTTGTTCATATATACCACTCTTTACGATAAAAGGTATCTAACAAACCCTTCGTTCTTGGATCGGAAAAGTGTTTGTCATTTATTATTATTTATACAACTTAGAAGTTGCATTTATACTCCTGACCAAAGACATCATTCAATAAAATTATTACTTATAATCTGTAGGTTACACAACAGGTTAGATTTACGGTCTATAATTTCTTTCCTGTTTGAAAGAATTTTTTCATTTTAAGAAATTTCAAAAGGACTTAATAAGAACGAAAAAATATATTACAACCTTATTAGATACGTAAAAAGTGAAAAAAACAAGAATAGTTGTAAGAAAAAAGTATAAAAGAGGAAGTAATCTAGCATTTCTTAAGGGATTTGCATTCATTTTTCATACTTATCGAGATATTTATATCGTTAGCTTTCGACTATGTGAGTTTGAACCTTTCTGAAGAAGGTACATGCAAAAAAGCACAAAGGAAGAGCACAATGGATGTCTTGCATCTGTGCAGCGAGATCTGATACGGAACATTATTGAGTTATAAATCAACAAAGTGTGAATATATTTCACATTGAAAACCATAAAAATCATAACATTTTCTGTATATGGTTATTTCCGTTGGTATCATTAGACCTTTACATAACGTGTTGTTATATTTTAATCATTACAGGAATAACTGAAACCGATGAAGGATTCCTCTACTGTGTCCAGTACGACAAAAATGATATAGTACTTTTCGAAAGAAGGGTGGAAGTTCATGTTATAGGTACGTCAATGGATAGGAAATTTGTCAAATTTATTTCTTTGAGAAGACAATTGTCGATGTACAAAAATGTTAATTTGCTTAATGTGATTCTTGTAATTGAAATAACCATGATAATATTCATCACCTATTGAATAATAAATTAAAGTAAGTCTAAGATGTACAAAACACAAAGAACCCAAAGTTGCAAAAATATCCTCAATGACAAAAGCTGACATTTTAGACAATTAGTCCGTTGTTAATGAATCTTAGACTGGGATTAAAATGTCTGCAAAAGTATGCCAACAAGTTGTGGTATTCGTAGTAAGGTAATATATATATACCGCATAATGTGAAGCAGTAATACAATATTCAGTGATGTTTATTTTTTCAGTCCACTTTCACCAACTTGCTACCCAAATATAAAAATACAAGCTTATGAAATAATTTGTGTAACCAGAGTAACGAGACTTTGGTACACTGTTTCGTTGACAATGGTTGAAAAAGAACTTAAATAAAAAAACATACGGGTATTTATATGTTAACAATGATTGATAATAAATCAGCATGGCGGCTAATATACGTGTTGTCTTCTTTGATATTACTAGTATTTGATTATCTATGACGAATTTATGTCCATACATGTCACTTAGAGCCTACAACTGCACGGTAGGCACTTTCTCTTTTCTGTCACCAGTAAGTCATCTTTTCTGTGTTTAGCAAAAACAACAACAGCAGCACCAACAACCACAAGAGCACAAATAACAACAAGTATATCTAATAACATTTGCATTGATGGACATGTAATGTGTACACACCTGTTTCCTGGTGAATGTGAAGTAGCATTACATTTAATGATCTTGTGTCCAGCGAGTTGTGATATTTGTTGTAAGTAAATAAGTCTATACAGCATAATGTGAAGCAGCAATACAATATCGTATTCAGTGATGTTTATTTTTTCCGTCAATTTTCAAACTTATTTATTCAATTCAATACTGATCAGTAGCTTTCATACAGTTCAGAACGATGTTGATGTGTACATATATATAAGAAGATGTGGTATGAGTGCCAATGAGACAACTCTCCATCGAAGTCACAGTCTTTTAATAGCTGTTCAAATCAAAATGTCCGTTTCAGATCAAGCTATCCGGTTCAGTTTTAAATTGATTGGCTAGTAGTATTATCGAAATATTGTTGGTAATTGAGTTATTATATTTGTGGTAAGTATATATTGAATAACAGTTTATATGAGGCAACAATCCTCGTTAAAGCGTTTGTTCAGTACGTTGTGGTTTATCTAGTAAAAAACTAATTATATGGAGCTTCATAATTTTACATTTTTTTTAATTTTCAACTGGGCAGTTTAAAAAAGGTTGATCATGTTGAATAAGACCAACTAGGTGACTAAATGTAATACACAGACGGGTATTGAATAAAGCAGGCATTGAACCAACATGGTTTTAATTGTCAGTAACTAAGTAGCTAGTCTGTAATCTTTGAATTTGTAAAAAACAATATTTATAGAGTTTTCAGATAAAATTAAAGAATATAATGCAGTTGAAAAAAACTGAAAATTACCACCAAGTTTGCCTTAATGATATGGTTGTGTTCTAATACCTGCAACTCAAATAATGATTGAATTCAATTCGAAGGAAATAAATCCTTTACAATTTGAGGACAGAACAAATCTTTTTAATAAACAATATTTTAATTTCTTTCGATGGTGGCACACGAATGGTTTACGAAATTGTACAATTCTAATTCACAAAAAAAAAATCGTAGCCAGTAAAGGGATTTTGGTTACTTATAACTTTGAATGCGAAGGTGTAATTAATTTTTAAAAAAGTGATTACCAGATAGCCATGTGTATTGTCTGATTTAATGGCATCGGAGAATACTATGAAATGTATACATCTGATGAGTTAAGCCTTTTTCAACTGATTTTTATAGTTCGTTCTTATGTTGTACTGTTACATCACTGTCCCAGGTTAGGGGGAGGGTTAACATGTTTAACCCCGCCACATTCTGTATGTATGTGCCTGTCCCAAGTCAGGAGCTTGTAATTCAGTGGTTGTCGTTTGTTGCTGTGTCACATATTTGTTTTTCCTTGCTTTTTTTTTGTACATTTAATTAGGCTGTTAGTTTTCTCGTTTAAATTGTTTTACATTTGTCATTTCAAAGCCTTTTATAGCTGACTATGCGGTATGGGGTTTGCTCATTGTTGAAGGCCTTACGGTGACCTATAGTTGTTAATTTTTGTGTCATTTGGTCTCTTGAGAAGAGTTGTCTCATTGGCAATCACACCACATCTTCTTTTTTATATATAAAGATAACAGAACGGAAACCTCAAAAAAGGAGACAGGATAAAAGTTAACCAGAAGTTGTTAAAGATTACCTTGCTTCATTAAAGATAAATACGGTCAATTTGAATAGTTTACATTTTCTTGATAACAATATTCTGAGGTAATTTCAGATCGACCAGAAAGATACTGTGCCGATCGTTCCAATGATTGTTCTAAGGTTAAAGACCAATGTAATGACCACACAATTAAACAGATTTGTCAATCAACTTGTAATGTATGTGGTCAGTATATTATCGTTAGATTTAAGTGTGTTTTAGCTAGAATAGCAATAGTAACACATTCTTATGTATCAAACTTTTTATTCTTTACAACAAGTGAGAGAAGCCGAAAACGCAATAATAAAAAAGACGCAAAAACAAACATCAGTCTACAAAACACTTAATACAAATCAAGACTGAGCTACACGAACCCCACTTATAACAGGAGTCATTACATGTGCTCAGAAAGCCATCATTTCGATAATTTTGCGGAAGCCAACACGAGTGGGTTGCCTTTTATTAAATATTTGTTTCACATACGATAACGAGTATGTCCCAATTGTAGTAACCGCAATCCTGTCCTCTTTTTCCTGACTTAGACTTATCACCAAGTTTAAACGTCCATGTCCATGTCCCCCTACTTTATTTTTCATATGTCAGCAGTCTTACATCAATATAGCATTCATGTGATTTTGTTTTCAATTGATTTGATTTAACGTTGAATCTATCTCTACCTAATTATATGTTCAATCTATGGATACATGTCATTGTAAAGTGTATTTGCATCGTACGAGTGTTTGTGTTGATTTATCTCGCAGGTAGGTTTTCATTTATTTTACGTTTGCTTTTCTTTTTAGATGCTAATGGTTGTAACAGTACACTTGTATCCTCAGCTCTCTCCAAAAATCTTGTGCTATCACATTCTGCAGGAGATTATTGTTCCGATGGTACTCGAACAAATGCAGACTCAGTCATCCTGAAACTATGTAATGCGAGAACTGATAAAATGTGGCGACAGGGTATACAGGTAGTAATTTTGTTTTTAAATTCAACTGTTAAAATAACAAAGGCTTACATAAAACATTATGTTGTAAGCGACGATTCACATAACTAAGAAACTGAAAATAGGACTAGTGTAAAAGATTTACGGACAATGTGCATTACTTATATCTGACTTATATCTGACTAACTTTTTCAATTAGTTAGATTTTTTAAAGTGAACTTGCTATTCCTCTCATTTAAACCTTTTGCCTCTTTCTTTACAGGTTGTTTCAAACTGTAAACAAATATCGTTATATGCTCCTGTTTCGTCGTTTGGATCTTTTTCTCATCAACTTGGAATATTTCTTGGTTGTACTGACACGGGAATTAAGGTATTTTATTCAATTAATCATGTTAAATAAAGTATCATTCGTATTTGACCTCGCCATTTTTTGTTATGTTTGAATCCTTTAATCAACTGTAAATACAATAATTAAATACATCTACGACGATTGGTAACAGATAAATAACGTTAAAAAGGGAAATATACAACGTCTTCTCCTGTCAGTGTTTACATGCATGTATTAATAAACAATATTGATTGAGTAACAAAAGAAAAGAGAAACATAAGTTTTCACTAGGGATAATACCACCACATCAAATTACGTCACATCTGGTTTCATGCGAAATTGAGTCCAAGAATCATATTCCCTTGAATTTGACAGTTGTAGGAAGTTAACCCTGCATTTTATTGCAGAATTATTTTTTTGAGCCATGAACATATATCATGGGTGTTTCAACGCACCATTCTTATTTTAATTTGATGTTTTTATAAAATATTTTGAAAACTTGATGTTACATGGTTACTAAAGACTGTAGACAGCAAAAACAAAAAGGTGAACATTTGATTGGTTAACCTCCAGTGATAGTTATTAATTTTTGACAACTTATTAAAACAATTGACCCCAACATAATGAACAGTCCAAAACTGTTCAAAAAGAGTTAAACGCAAAACTGTTTTCCTCGTTGAAAACAAACTGATAACGCCATGACAAAAAAAAACTGCCAACAGACAAAGAACAGCATACAAAACACAAAATTGAAAAAAAGACTGATCAACGCGAGCCATAACGAAATCCGGGGATGATCTCAGGTAAGCTGATCTTGCGTCACATTTGGCACCCAATCTTCAAGGGCATGTTATAGTTTACCAATAAAGATTCACCTAACACTTGTGTTATTAATTGAATAGTTGTGTTTCAGTAATGCAAAAATGCACAGCTGAATTACTAAATGGTGTGCTAGCTTTAAAGCATATAAGATAAGTTGCATATGAAATTCAACCTCTCCATGTTTGTGTTTACATTGTACATTTAACAGAATGCTTTCATCTGTTTATACTACGTTCATATACATGTTTTTTTAGATAGGAATACAGAAATGCAATGACCACTTCAAAGAACAAGCATTGGTTTCTGGTGACACGTCAACAGCCTTTTCTAATGCTGATGTTTACCATGTACTCATTGTGAAATAAAAAAAATGTATGAACTTTAATTCACAAAATCCTAGAAATTCTATAGACACAATCGAACATCTCTGAGTTTGCTGTTTCATCGACATTTTACAATTCTGGGATACAATACTTGGAATGCAGAAATTATATTTATGGCTTTCATATGTTTATCTAGCTATAAACCATGTTAAACTAATAATTGTCTACTAATTTATGAACTTCCCTCTTTTTGAATTTACCTTACTAGATAAAATTGAGAATGGAAATGGGGAATCTGTCAAAGAGACAACAACCCGATCAAAGACAGTAAACAGCCAAAAGCCACCAATAGGTCTTCAACACAGCGAGAAATCCCACAACCGGAGGCGGGCATCAACCGGCCCCTAAACACAAATGTGTACTTATTCAATATAAATGGACGTCACACTAAGTCTGAAACATATAAATGCAATAAAATAAAAAGAAAACATAGAAGACTAACAAAGGCAAGAGACTCCTGACTTGGGACAGGCGCAATAATGCGGCGGGGTTAAACGTGTTTTGTGAGATCTCAATCCTCAGCCTAATCCTCTAGTCAATGAAGTATAAACAAACACACAGCAATACGCACAGTAAAACTCAGTTCAAAAGAAGTGCCAGTCCGATGTCAATATAGGTAATAGAAGAAACTAAGCAAAATGGCAATGATAGGACTACTAGAAATTGCTAACATGTCACCTCCAGACCTCAATTAAACTGATTGAAAGATTATGTCTTCGTTATATGAAAATCAAGCGCAATCCCTCTCGTTCGGTATTAAGTACCATACACTACAAACCAGTAAAAGTCTGAAGTGGCCTATATCTGTACTCGACTGTACTGATTTTTACTCGACCAGTCTGAATTGGTCTGAAATTTACTTGATAATACTCGACTGTAGTCTGAACCATACTTAACAGTCTGAACTTGTACTCGACCCTTACTCGACCAGTACTTAACCATTTTATATGCCTCTGAACCATGCTCGACCTAGTCTGAACCATACTCGACCTAGTCTGAACCATACTCGACCTAGTCTGAACCATACTCGACCAAGTCTTAACCAACCTAGACCTATTTTTTTGTATCTATCTATTGTATTTCATCAATTTAGGAACTGTTTTTAACAAAAGCTATTTCCCCTGGCTAGAAATTTGAACAACAATTTGAAATTAAAAATGTATTCAATATAGCATTAAAACCAAAATTTCACAATAAACATAATATAACTTCATCACCATATTTATCAACATTTATATACATACATATATATCACCTTTAAAATAAATAAAAAAAACAAGCTGATCAAATAATCTCAAAACTGAATTGTGACTAATATTTTCAATGTTATTCAAAATTTTTTGAATGTTTTAGATATATTTTATGGTTACTGGACAATTTTCACCATTAACTTAAGCCTCGTATAGATTTATGGTGTCAGTCGAATTAAAATAATAATGCAGTGAACATTTTTTTTATTAAAATATATATAAAATAGCATATAAAGCAACTTAATAAATTTAAAAAATGACACCTTTGTTTTATTAAACCAAGAATTTAATATAATCATGATAATAGAACTTCCATAGTAATCCTGTGATAAACTTTTAAAAAAGGAAATGTGTTCCAAAGTTACAGTAAAAATTTATTTCAATTAAATTTAAATAGTTTTTGTCAAAATTAAAGACATGGCATACAAGAAGCACTTTAATAAGGTTTAATTACCTCAGTACATGTGTGTTTTACAGGTAAAAAGAAAGCCTTATTTTTCTTAAACTCGTGTATTACTTATCTAGTGAATTCAAAAGGCCTTGCGATTTAAGTTTCACAGGATGTTGCAATTTTGAATGAATGATATTTAGAATTTAATACTCTCTGACCAGGTGTGATCTTTTTCATGAGTTTGCCCCAAGCAGGAGGTATTACTTTATACTTCACCACTAATCAGAAGAACAATTTTATTAATTTCTTTTATTTTTATCCCTTTTTGATATATATTGTATATAATATATCCCAAACTATAATAAAAGATATATTTCTAAAATAAGGTTAAACAATTTCAGTGATTTTGTTGGCTGTTGTTACCTCATTAAAAAGATAATTATATAACTATTGTACATTTTTTGTATGTAACCATGAAACCTATGTAGTTTTTATTTAGGAATTTAGGAAACTTAATTTAAAAAAAAAAACACATGCCAAACAAGAAGCACCTTAATAAGGTTTAATTACCCTCAGTATAGGTGTGGTTTTTAGGTAAAAGAAAATCTTTTTTTAAACAAAACTCTAAAACATTAAAATTAATACAATTAAATTATTATATAAGATAATTTGATTTAAATATCTCTATTCGATAAATCTGAGAATCATGTAAGAATGTAAAAATCTGTTTTTATAATATATCTTTATTTTATTGTGGCTGTTGTCATGTCAGTTAAAAAAATATTTATTTTAACAGTTAAAATTTAGAAAAAGTAGAGGTTATTTGGTCAAGTATGGTTCAGACTGGTCGAGTATTGTTCAGACCTTTGGTCGAGTATGGTTAAGACTGAAAAAAATAGGTCGAGTACAGGTCGAGAATGGGTTAAGACTGTTTCAGACTGGTCGAGTAATAGTTCTGACTATTTTCAATGGCAAAGATAAGGGTCAAGTACAAATCAGTACAGTCGAGTATGGTTAAGACTCGGTCGAGTAATGTCGAGTAAAATTCAGACCAATTCAGACTGGTCGAGTAAAAATCAGTACAGTCGAGTACAGATATAGGCCATTTCAGACTTTTACTGGTTTGTAGTGATACCATCATAAAATATATGAAAAAAAAACATAACCCGTAGCATGCCAATAACTGGTTTTAGAATAAATGTGTTTATTAATTCCAAAAAAAAATGTCATCTTTAATGACCTGGCAGTATCATAACTATATCCCTTCTGAATAAGTTTGTTTAAAGGTTTGGTTAGCTTTTGAGGTGAATGACGACATGTTTGTGCTTTGTATAGAATATTAGCACAAAAGAGTAGGTGTGAAATACCTGAACGTATAAGATGTCTCCGTGTTGATTTATATTTACGAATGATGTCCTTGTACCGATGATAAAATTCAAAGTTTTGACTAGTTTGTGATATCGAAAACCCTGCTGTAATAATTTTTCAGTAATACACAGATTTCTTTCGTTGAAATCAAATACGTTATAAATTCACAAGCGAATCGAACAAAAGAGGGACGAAAGATACCAGAGTGACAGTCAAACGCATAGATCGATAATAAACTGACAACGCCATGGCCAAAAATAAAAAGACAAAAAGACAAATAATAGTACAGATGACACAACATAGAAAACTAAAAACTAAGCAACACGAACCCCACCATAAACTGGGGGTGATCTCAGGTGCTCCGGAAGGGTAAGCAGATCCTGCTCCACATGTAGCACCCGTCGTGTTGCTAATGTTATTACAAATCCGGTAAATAGTCTAATTCGGTAGGTCACATTCGTGAAAAGGGAAGGGTATTGTTGTTACGATATAAGGAACATATCCGATATCATCTGTGAAACGGTTATTCCATAACGGTCAACCAACTCGTGATGGCGTCCGTAAAATTTACGAAGGGATGATTTCAACTTCACCATTTGGAACTCTTGGTTTAATAGCTTCCTTGTGAGCAGCAATCCTCTATCAAGGAAATCGTGATAGGAAATACAAGCCCGGGAATATCGTATCAATTGGGAGATATATACTCCGTATGCAGGCGCTGCTGGAATGTTGCTACATAGAAATGGAAAGTTCACAATTGGGAAGCTGAAATCATCTCTTTTGTCGTAAAGTCTTGTTTTCAACTGACCCTCATTGTCAATTTCTAGATGTAAGTCAAGATATGAGGCAGACTTAACTATATCTGTAGTATCCTTTATCTCTAGTTCGATAGGATAGATTCGTTCAACATAGTCTCCAAATTTTTTTATTATTTTGTGAGAGAACATCATCTATATAGCGGAACGTAAAGGTAAAGGATATTGCTAACTTCTTATCTTTCTTCCTAAGAAGTTCCTAATGAAGTCAGCCTCATAATAATAAAGTAACAAGTCGGCAAGAAGAGGGGAACAATTGGTTCCCATTAGAATTCCGACAGTCTGTTGAAAAACACGTCCTACAAACGTAACAAATATGTTGTCAATCAAGAAATCAAGCATCTTGATAATGTCACAGGTTGACAATGGAACGTCACCATCTGAAAATGGATAATAGGAAATGAAACAATCATATCTTTTATCGTAAATTTTATTATTCAGCTTCCCGTTAAAGATATTTAAGATATAGATATCAAGATCCAAGAAAGGGCAATGTCTATTGTTAGTATTAACTTTATGTAAAGTCAGTTCAGCAGAATAAATCACTTTAGTGTACATAATGAAGTCGTCATTATTGATAGCCAATAATTCGTCCAAATATCTAAAAGTGTTATTTAATTTTTGTATCAGATGTGTTGTTTCGATGGGTGTTTGCTGATTTTAGTCATAAATTGTAACTCAAAACAATACAGAAACAGGTCAACAATAAGTGGTGCACAGTTAGTCCCCATTGGAATTCCTATAACTTAACGATATATGGAATCTCCATAGCGAATAAAAGTACTATCTAATAAAAATTCAAGTGCTGTAATTAACGTAACAAAGCAGGTCCAATTGACATAGTTCTTTTGTTTGTTGTTACTAAAAATAGGTAGAGTTTGGTATTTTTGTAAACACGTTTTTGTTAAGTACATAAATTCGCTTGATTCCATAATATTAATATATTGACAATGTATAATAAATATCTTTCACACCAAAGCATACAGAGACATGTTCTAACTAAGAGTGTATTTTGAAAAATTCATCTCATTCAAATGTAGATCTGGGATTTCGTCATGATCAAATATTGATACATGACCAACAATTAACAGTTTTACAACTTCTGGTATCTCCTGAAATGACACTACTTACATAAAATTACATATATCAAGGGTGCATTCCCTTGGGTGTTCCATTCT